GGCGGGGCGAGGACGGGGGCGCCGGCGAGGCTGCCTGGCACCCGCCGGGACGGGGACAGTCGAGGAGGGTTGGGGAGAGGGTGGGGGGGCAGTCGGATTTGGGGGTATTCAGGTGTCGGCGTGTGGCCGTGTCACCACGTGTGTGCCGTGGCCGTGGGGTGTGCGGATGGGGGGTGTGCAGGGCTGTGCGTGTCCCCGGGCACCCGTGGCTGTGTCCCCATGTGCGCACGTGTCCCTGTGTCCTCGTGGTACCACCACGTGCCCCTGGGCTGCGGGGGGCCACGTCCCCATGCCTGGTGCTGTCCCTGTCCCAGTCCCTCTCCTGGTGCCAGTCCCTGTCTGGGTCCCAGTGTGTGGTCCCTGTCCCAGTGCCAGGCTGCGTCCCAGGCCCTCTCCCAGTCCCAGTTCCTGTCCTGGTCCCTGTCCCTGTCCCCATTTCTGTTCTGCCATCAGTCCCAGTGACTGTGTCACTGCTAGTCCCTGTTCCAGTCCCTGACCCTGTCTTGGCCCTGTTCCCTGTCCCCATCCCAGTCCTGGTCCCTGTACCTGTCCCTGTCCCGGCCCTTGTGCCTGTCCTGCTCCCTGTCCCCATCCCGATCCCTGCTCCCCGTCCCTCTCCGGGTGCCTATCCCGGTCCCTATCTTTGTCCTGATCCCTGTCCCCATCCTCATCCCCAACCCAGTCCACTGTCCCTGTCCCTGTGCCAGCACCCATTCCCATGCCATTCCCGGCCCTTGTCCCTGTCCCTGTCCCCATCCCAGTCCCTGCTCCCTGTCCCTCTCCCAGCCCCTATCCTCATCCCTGTCCCCATCCCCATCTTGATCCTGGTCCTGGTCTCCCTACCCCTGTCCCTGTCACTGTCCCTGTCCTGGTGCCCGTTCCTGTCCTGGTCCTGGCCCTTGTCACTGTCCTGCTCCCTGTCCTGGTGCTGGTTCCCATCCTGGTCCCAGCCCTTGTCCCTGTCCCCATCCCTGTACCTGTCCCCATCCCTGTTCCTGTCCCTGTCCCCATCCCTGTCCTGCTCCCTGTCCCCATCCCAGTGCCTGTTCCCATCCCTGTCCCCATCCCTATTCCTGTCCCTGTTCCTGTCCCTGTCCTGCTCCCTGTCCCCATTCTTGTCCCTCTCCCGGTGCCTGTTCCGATCCCTGTCCCCATCCCCATTCCCATCCCCGTTCCTGTCCCCATCCCGTTCCCTGTCCCCATCCTGGTGCCTGTTCCCATCCCTGTCCCCATCCCCATTCCCATCCCCACCCCTGTCCCCATCCTGCTCCCTGTCCCCATCCCTGTCCCCGTTCCCATCCCTGTCCCTGTCCCCATCCCTGTCCCCATCCCCATCCCTGTCCCCATCCCCATTCCCATCCCCACCCCTGTCCCCATCCTGCTCCCTGTCCCCATCCCTGTCCCCGTTCCCATCCCTGTCCCTGTCCCCATCCCTGTCCCCATCCCCATCCCTGTCCCCATCCCCATTCCCATCCCCACCCCTGTCCCCATCCTGCTCCCTGTCCCCATCCCTGTCCCCGTTCCCATCCCTGTCCCTGTCCCCATCCCTGTCCCCATCCCCATCCCTGTCCCCATCCCCATTCCCATCCCCACCCCTGTCCCCATCCTGCTCCCTGTCCCCATCCCTGTCCCCGTTCCCATCCCTGTCCCTGTCCCCATCCCTGTCCCCATCCCCATCCCTGTCCCCATCCCCATTCCCATCCCCACCCCTGTCCCCATCCTGCTCCCTGTCCCCATCCCTGTCCCCGTTCCCATCCCTGTCCCTGTCCCCATCCCTGTCCCCATCCCCATCCCTGTCCCCATCCCCATTCCCATCCCCACCCCTGTCCCCATCCTGCTCCCTGTCCCCATCCCTGTCCCCGTTCCCATCCCTGTCCCTGTCCCCATCCCTGTCCCCATCCCCATCCCTGTCCCCATCCCCATTCCCATCCCCACCCCTGTCCCCATCCTGCTCCCTGTCCCCATCCCTGTCCCCGTTCCCATCCCTGTCCCTGTCCCCATCCCTGTCCCCATCCCCATCCCTGTCCCCATCCCCATTCCCATCCCCACCCCTGTCCCCATCCTGCTCCCTGTCCCCATCCCTGTCCCCGTTCCCATCCCTGTCCCTGTCCCCATCCCTGTCCCCATCCCCATCCCTGTCCCCATCCCCATTCCCATCCCCACCCCTGTCCCCATCCTGCTCCCTGTCCCCATCCCTGTCCCCGTTCCCATCCCTGTCCCTGTCCCCATCCCTGTCCCCATCCCCATCCCTGTCCCCATCCCCATTCCCATCCCCACCCCTGTCCCCATCCTGCTCCCTGTCCCCATCCCTGTCCCCGTTCCCATCCCTGTCCCTGTCCCCATCCCTGTCCCCATCCCCATCCCTGTCCCCATCCCCATTCCCATCCCCACCCCTGTCCCCATCCTGCTCCCTGTCCCCATCCCTGTCCCCGTTCCCATCCCTGTCCCTGTCCCCATCCCTGTCCCCATCCCCATCCCTGTCCCCATCCCCATTCCCATCCCCACCCCTGTCCCCATCCTGCTCCCTGTCCCCATCCCTGTCCCCGTTCCCATCCCTGTCCCTGTCCCCATCCCTGTCCCCATCCCCATCCCTGTCCCCATCCCCATTCCCATCCCCACCCCTGTCCCCATCCTGCTCCCTGTCCCCATCCCTGTCCCCGTTCCCATCCCTGTCCCTGTCCCCATCCCTGTCCCCATCCCCATCCCTGTCCCCATCCCCATTCCCATCCCCACCCCTGTCCCCATCCTGCTCCCTGTCCCCATCCCTGTCCCCGTTCCCATCCCTGTCCCTGTCCCCATCCCTGTCCCCATCCCCATCCCTGTCCCCATCCCCATTCCCATCCCCACCCCTGTCCCCATCCTGCTCCCTGTCCCCATCCCTGTCCCCGTTCCCATCCCTGTCCCTGTCCCCATCCCTGTCCCCATCCCCATCCCTGTCCCCATCCCCATTCCCATCCCCACCCCTGTCCCCATCCTGCTCCCTGTCCCCATCCCTGTCCCCGTTCCCATCCCTGTCCCTGTCCCCATCCCTGTCCCCATCCCCATCCCTGTCCCCATCCCCATTCCCATCCCCACCCCTGTCCCCATCCTGCTCCCTGTCCCCATCCCTGTCCCCGTTCCCATCCCTGTCCCTGTCCCCATCCCTGTCCCCATCCCCATCCCTGTCCCCATCCCCATTCCCATCCCCACCCCTGTCCCCATCCTGCTCCCTGTCCCCATCCCTGTCCCCGTTCCCATCCCTGTCCCTGTCCCCATCCCTGTCCCCATCCCCATCCCTGTCCCCATCCCCATTCCCATCCCCACCCCTGTCCCCATCCTGCTCCCTGTCCCCATCCCTGTCCCCGTTCCCATCCCTGTCCCTGTCCCCATCCCTGTCCCCATCCCCATCCCTGTCCCCATCCCCATTCCCATCCCCACCCCTGTCCCCATCCTGCTCCCTGTCCCCATCCCTGTCCCCGTTCCCATCCCTGTCCCTGTCCCCATCCCTGTCCCCATCCCCATCCCTGTCCCCATCCCCATTCCCATCCCCACCCCTGTCCCCATCCTGCTCCCTGTCCCCATCCCTGTCCCCGTTCCCATCCCTGTCCCTGTCCCCATCCCTGTCCCCATCCCCATCCCTGTCCCCATCCCCATTCCCATCCCCACCCCTGTCCCCATCCTGCTCCCTGTCCCCATCCCTGTCCCCGTTCCCATCCCTGTCCCTGTCCCCATCCCTGTCCCCATCCCCATCCCTGTCCCCATCCCCATTCCCATCCCCACCCCTGTCCCCATCCTGCTCCCTGTCCCCATCCCTGTCCCCGTTCCCATCCCTGTCCCTGTCCCCATCCCTGTCCCCATCCCCATCCCTGTCCCCATCCCCATTCCCATCCCCACCCCTGTCCCCATCCTGCTCCCTGTCCCCATCCCTGTCCCCGTTCCCATCCCTGTCCCTGTCCCCATCCCTGTCCCCATCCCCATCCCTGTCCCCATCCCCATTCCCATCCCCACCCCTGTCCCCATCCTGCTCCCTGTCCCCATCCCTGTCCCCGTTCCCATCCCTGTCCCTGTCCCCATCCCCGGAGCCGGAGCTGGGTGCTGCCGACAGCTGGATCGGCGTGGTGCCCGTGGGCGAGGAGCCGGCTGGGGTCCCCCGGGGCGCCAAGGAGGAGTCCTTCACCGCCGCCGTCGTCAGCAAGGTGACTCTTCTCCTGGCACAGGGACTGCCGTGGCGTTTGCTAGTCACAAGCCCACAGGGCACCTCCTAGGGTGTCTGCTCGCCAGATGTTGGGGGTCCTGCAATGTGCTTGGTGGCAGGGGGGTCCCTTCAGCCAGGGCAAAGAGGCACCGGGTGCTGCCTGCTCCTTGCGGTGGGATGGGAGCTGAGCAAGGGCATGTTCCAGCTGCCCGTCCTCCTGCCTGTCCTGCCTTCTGAGCCCATGCTCTCTGCCTCCGCAGATGAAGCGAGCCCTGGTGCTGGGGGCATCAGCCCTGCTCATCCTGGCGCTGAACCAGAACGCCATCCGGGAGGTAGGAGAGTCCCGGCAGCGGGTCCCCGAGCTGGTCTCGTGCCTTGCTGACTGTTGTTGCTTTCCTCTCTGGTGCAGCTGGATGTTTCCCAGCTTCTTGCCAAGCCTGTGATCGTGATCCAGTCCTCAGACAACGTCACCAAGCTGCTGGGAGCGCTGCTGCGGTACGGGCCGGGGCAGCGGGAGAGGTTGGGCGAGAGCTGTAGCTCTGCGCCTGGTCCCCTGCCGGGCTGTGCCAGCCAGGGGCTGCCCTGGGGGGGTCTCTCACACGGCGCATCGTGTTTGCTGGGCTGGTGTCGAGCTTGCGCTGTGCGGAGACCAGCTGGGGCCGAGACATGTGTTTTTGGGGAGAGTTTGAGTCAGATCCAGCCCTTCCTCAGGGCCTGAGCCCTTCCACGGGTCCCCATGCAGTGGCAGGGGCTGACAGTGGCATCGGCCAAGGTCTTTAGGATCTCAGTACAAATTAGCCAGACCAGCTGGTTATCAGCATGACACCGGCATCTCTACTGCCTTTGGCAGTCTTTGTCCCCACCGCCTACAGTTTTAGGACCCCCTCGGTCCTTACACGTGGTAAATTGGTGTCGCAGATGGGGAAACTGAGGCACGGTGCTGGGAGGAAGAGACCTGTGCAGGGTTGCTGAGAGGGCTGGGCACAGCAGAGAAGGGGGAGTCTTGCTGTTGCGTCCCCTGTGTTTTCCTTTGTCCCTGGTGGCCCTCCTCGGCTGTGGCTCAGTGGGGACAGCGGTGCTCCTTGGCACTGGGGTACTGTGGACTGGATCCTGCTGTGCCCACGGGATTGACACTCTTCTCACCTTTTGTTCACAGGGGGCTCCGGGCGACGGCGAAGATCACATACCAGGCGGTGCTGCTGGAGAACTTGGTACGTAGGTCCTTTTCCTCCTGGTGGGAGGGCAGGGGCATGGCTGTGCCCAGCCAAACTTCCCCGACTGATGGGGAAGCAGGAGTCGGATCCACGAAGGCTGTTGACGCTGCCGGTGCCGTGGTTTCCCCAGAGACTCCCTCTGTGGGAGCGGGGCAGCTGGCAGCTGCTGGTGGGAGGAGGTTCCTCCTCCCCTCCACACGTGTGACCCATCTGGTGTGGTGGGCCCCCCCGGCCTTGGGCAGTGCCATGAGCTGTTGTGGCCATCGGCAATGCCGTCTTCTGCCTTGCAGGGAGTGACCCTCACCCTGTGGTCGACCTGCGGCCTCTCCCGAGGGGGCCTCTACGGCGAGTGGCAGGGGGTCATCTGCACGGGGGAGAACAGCTCGCAGGTCCAGGTGCGTGCACTGGTGCTGGTGAGGGCTCCTCACGTAGCGAGAGTTCCTGGCGTGGGGACAGTGGCGCTGGTGGGGCTGGGAGCGGAGCAGGGGTCTCCGGTTTGTCCCTCTGCCCTGGTCCCTGAGCGCCTGCTGGCGCTGTTCCTGCAGAAGTACCTCCAGCAGCTGTGGAACACCATCCTCCTCATCGCCCTGCTGCTCTGCACTGGGGTGATCGTGCAGGCCCAGCGGCAGTCGTGGCAGGACCCATCAGAGCAGGATGCTGAGGTGAGAACATCTCTGCTCCGCTTCTCACCGGGAAGACCCGCGGCCGGGGGCTCTGACCCCCTGCTCTGCCTTCACAGCTGGACCTGAAGCAGCACATTCGGCGGCGGCTGTCGGCACTGAAAACCCGGCGGTACCATCCCGGCAAACCCCTCCAGAGCCGGGCCTGTGAGATCGATAGCTGTGCCGTCTGCTTGGACCAGTTCCACAAGAGCCAGGTAGGTACTGGGGGGACTGGCGCTGCTCTGGGAGGCGTGGAGCCCCTCCTGGTCACCATCTGGGGCCACCTGTGCTATCTCTTTGCTGCCTGGGGCTCAGCTTGCCGGTGCCGGGGTGTCCCTGCCAGGGAGCTGTGTGGCAGGGGATCGTCCCCCTCACCGGGCAGCGTGATGGTGGCAGGGCTGCGGCACAGCCGCTGTACCCCGGCCCGGTTTGGCTCACATCTGCCATCCTCTTCCCTCCTGGCAGTGGCTGCGGGTTCTGCCCTGCTCCCACGAGTTTCACCGGGACTGCGTGGATCCCTGGCTCCTCCTGCAGCAGACCTGCCCTCTCTGCAAGCGCAACATCCTGGGTGAGAGCCGCAGTGACCAGTGACCGCGTTTATACCGGGGTGAGGGCTGGGGAGGAATCGGAGCCCCCTTCAGGCTCCCCGTGCGATGACCCTCCATCCTTCTCCCTTCCAGGGAACTGCTGCATGGAGAGATAGCTGCCCCGACAGACACACTCCAGGGACAGACTCCATCACCGCTCCGGGGAGAGGGAGGGGGGCAAGGGGTGCTCGGCAAGCGGCGCTCGCTGCCGGAACGGCTACGGTGTGGCTGTGCCCGTCGCAGCGCCCGGGCGTTCGGAGGGTGAAGGATCTCAGGGCTCTCCCTGCTGG